ATGTGATGACATTTACATGGGAAATGTGTTCTGACCATATGAGAAATCAAAACGATTGAGTGCTCCGGAAAAATTGGAGTTTCATGACGCGTGAAGTGACGTAAAACTCGGTGAAAAACGCGATATTCGCGGTGATATGCAATAGTCGTGAAATATAATTTTCACTAGTGTTTTTCATATCACTAGGGTCAAGAAACTCCAATATATGTTCAAACTCAGAAGTACTCGACATGTCCATCAACGGACCTCTTCTGAATCTTCTTTTGAGGGCAGCTTTTGCATCTTATCTATTCTGTTTCTGCATGCCTTATACCACTCAATAGCCGGAGTAACATTGCCGTTTTTCAGGGCTTCCTTAATGCTCCTTATTTTCTCATCAATGACAATATCAGGTTCGAAATCGCCACTTTCAAGAGCTGGGAAATGATCCATAGAACCTACCGAAGAGTCATTGTGTCTAAATTTCCCTACTTTTCCAGGAAATATGTGAAATTCCCGGGAAAAATTGCGAAAATTGCTTGGTAAAATCATCTACAAACCCGACCAAGGAACCACGATGACTGAATTTGTATATTTTTCCAGAAAACATATAAAATTTCCGGAAAAAAAATCGAAAATTTGAGCATTTTCTATCATACATTTACCAATAAAATCAAGCAATTTTCACAAGCAATTTTTTCATTTTTATTTTGAAAATAATATTTTCCCGCAATTATTCAGCATTCAAGCGTTACGCGCCCGAAAACTCGGAAAAATTTAGAGTGTGAAAATTAATATACCAAAATTTCCGAAGCTTCATTTCATTGTGAATTGTAGCTGACACGATGCAAGTTCTTCTGTTGAGAATTATGCAAGTCTCGCCCATAATGCGACGAGTACCGTTTTTTCCCGAGGTGAAAATTCCCTCGATGTGAATTTTTCCCCCACGATGTTCTCATAGAACGGGCAGAAATTCAAGTAGTAATGAGCGTACTGGTGACAATCAGAAAATTCTGAGAAAATTTTCGAATATTTCTCCCCCGATTTATGTATAACACTTCGGAATTCACTGAGAAAACCAAACATGTACTCCAACACTGCGAAGAAATTCTCAACAGTTTTTCTTTTTTTCTTCCCCACAAGAACGCTCCTAAAATTATCAAATAATTCTCCGATGCTCACCCGTCTTCGAGTTTTCCACAACTCGTCCCAAGGTGTGTGCAAATCCGTTCCGAGCGAGCCATTCCACCAACAGGAAGGTATCGCCGCCTCCCCAGTCAGCGAGGTCCTCATCAGCAACCTCGTCTGCTGATGCTAAGTCGTCTATTGCCGTTACGCGATGTTTGATATTGTCAACTAATTTCGCCTGAAAATTACCATCATGGCTGTTATGACTCAAATTACCAATTTTTTCTGCATATTCAATGACCCCATTATTACTAATTCTCAACATGAAAAGTCGATGAAGGAGAACTTTTCCTACTTTCACCGCGGCGAGTGGGAAATAAAAATTCAAAATTTTTCTGCCGGATTCGGAACTCTAGAGGAAATCAAAAGATCAATTCCATCGTGTGAAAACCTTGAGAAACTTACTTGTTCACGTTTCTTCTCGTACAGTCGTTTCTCAACGATATCTAATTTCTTCAGCAATTTCTCGACAGTTTCTGCCGAGTTTCCAGCCGAACCAACCTAACGTAGAAGACGGATTTACCATTGAAAAAAGGTATGAATTCTCTTCGACACGAAACGGGAAATTCCAATGTTGACAATCGAGCGTTATGAAAGTCAGAATCGCTTCCCACAAGGAAAAAATAATTCGAAGAATTTCGGGTGATTCTACCAATTTTGGTGTCACTGAAAGTCTGCGAATAATCGTGTCAGTCTCGACAGATTACGAAAGTCCATCGACGAGAGAATTCTAGTGTGGTAGTGAAATAGTAGTGAAAAAATATTCAATCGAAGTGATACTCACCTTGCCGCTAGCAATGAAGTTATGAATCAACAGCAGTTCCCGCTCGATATCTTTGCGGTCTCTTCGAAAATCAGCCGATAAGACCTCTAATGGTAACTAAAAGCACTCTTGAGGGTGAAATACTTAACGAGTGATGTTATACTCGCAAGAAAGATCCTCCACATGTGAGTTTCCTCCGTTTACCAGTATCGTTATCGCCGTCAGCGCTCATGAAGTGAAAATGGATGTAAAAAATTTAACTGCCTTCTCTGGAGAATTTTTCTTTTTGGCCGACCAGAAAAGTCTTCGTATTCCATTCGTCTCTCGAGCACTACGATGGAATTCTTTTTGCCCGCATTTTCGATGCAAATCTGCCCCATCCAAGACTGTTACCATCTCATTCATAAGAATGGAAATTGATAACAAGACACGAGCAAGTGCACTGATGAAACTGCTGATATGCAAACCTGCGGAGCTCTACTCATTCCGAAGATCAGAAAGTCAGTTAAGCTCGCGAAGACTGAGGCGTATCTTGAGTGGGATATACCTCTGGCATAGCTGCCCCAACTCTAGTAGCTTGTTACTAATAAGGCCTCTCGAGGTGATGCCGAGTACGGCTCCCTGTACATCTTGGGGGTGGCATAGGTGCCCCAATCCCTAATAGCCTATTCCTAATAAGGCATCTCAAGGTGATGCCGAGTACGGCTCCCTGTACATCTTGGGGGTGGCATAGGTGCCCCAATCCCTAATAGCCTATTCCTAATAAGGCACCTCAAGGTGATGCCGAGTACGGTTCCCTGTACATCTTGGGGGTGGCATAGGTGCCCCAATCCCTAATAGCCTATTCCTAATAAGGCATCTCAAGGTGATGCCGAGTACGGCTCTTTGTACATCTTGGGTGTGGCATAGGTGCCCCATCCCTAATAGCCTATTCCTAATAAGACATCTCGAGGTGATGCCGAGTACGGCTCTCTCTGCATCTTGGGGGTGGCATAGCTGCCCCATCCCTCTCCCCCATTATGGCACACAATAACTGTGCGCGTGCGTGCAGAGCTGAGAACCGTACTACGGCCGATGATAACCAAAATCGACCTGTTGCCGTAAATAGTGACAGAGTAGTCCAAATTTAGTGACAAAACTTGACAGGACTCCTGAAGTGTTGGTCGCTTGTAATAAATGGTCTTAGTGTTGAGCGGCTCTAATGAGTCATTAATGATCAATTCACATACGATATGTGCGGTCGGAGACATTATTTGGGACTTCTATCGGGAGGCACACGAGATCACCACGTGGTAGAGAGGCTTCTGATTTTGAATATTCACAATCCACAAACCGTGGATTCATCCCCCGTAAGATATCCCATGCCCTACGGAGGGCCGGTTACACCTGCGTATTTTGTGAGGAAGTGGAGCGCGCTCGCCCAGAGGCACGCATGGGCCGTTCGGCTAAGCGGGTGCTCATCCGGTACTTCCAATTCTGTACGACCCCAATACTGTACGACAGGTTGATCTCGCTCGCCCGAACATGTCCATGGAGTACCCTCCAATATTGTACGACGGATTCATGCATTTGGGTGCCCTGTCCAATACTGTACGACTGGTCCAGTCGCAATGGTGGGTCTCTCTCGTTGCGCTTTGGTAGGAGCTGCTTTGGAGTATCTCAGAATGAAGAGCCCGTACATTCAACGAGGAGAGAGAACGGTGACAACAATGCAGCAGTGTCATGACTGGTGAGTCACGAGGAAAACCTTCCAGGTAAGTGGATTTATCTGTGAGCTCGCAGGGCAATATACACATGATCAACTTCACGTGTTAGCGACGGTGATGAAGATTCGGTGAATTATTGTCGAATTTTATAAACTTCCACCTAAGTCGTGCGCCATCTTCCACAATGTGGCGTTGACAGTGTCAGCTTGGCACTCGTGCATAAACCGGATATTATCCAACTGATGATATCGGTGGGGAACATAAGTAAAATTCCACCACCGAAGCTGGCATAGCATAAGCTGTTGAAGTATTCGCGTCTTCTGAGACAACGCAAATACTTCAGTGTCAAGTACAGGCTGTACTGTACAGCGAGCGCTGGTTGTGCGGCGCTGGGACCGTATCGAATCCCGACGCATTTCAATCTGAATTGCCAACTCAATCGTGCTAGGTATAGGTCTGCCTTAGTCTGGCATATATTTCACATGGTGAATTTTACCAGTTGTTTAGCGAAGATGAATTACAGCTCTTCAATCTGCCCTCCATTGGAAAGTCTCCAGTTTCCTATCGCTTCAGTCATCATCCTGGGTTTAATAATGCGATAAAAATACGGGATCGTTCTACGATGGGGGCTGATTATTCGGTTCAATGCTGGCAGCATTATGCTGCAAAAGATTGTGGATTGTTGGGTAATTCCGAATTACTCTTTAGGAATCGTGAGTCATGGATTGTCGAAATACTAATTCGACAGCTCAACCGCTCAACAGCTCTTCCGTCCTGCCCTTGCCATATCGCTGCTGTGTAAATCGACCTCGGTCAGCAATTTGCCCTCTTAAGTATTACACTGGGTGAGTATTCGTAAGAATTCCTTACGGGTATTCACCCAGTGAGTCTCTGTGCCAGCGTATTGTGCGGCATTAGCTATGCACATGCGTGCGCTCCGGCCCGGCCTTGAAGGCCCGTTAGAAGGTGATTGACTCTCTTGTAGTTATCTTTCCCCACCTTCCAACCTCGAAGTATGAATACCACTCCACCTTCGCACATCTCTGAGACGCCTCAGCTGCGTGAGGTTGCAGATCAGGTTGACATGGTGGTCAACGTACCTCCTGCTGACGGAGCAGCGGCCTCACGGCTGGAAATAGTTCCCGGAGAACGTCAGGGGACAACTCTCTACTCATATAGGGGATACCTTTACCACCAGAATGCCGCCGGGAATAGCGATCGCCCGCCTGCTCGAGAGAGAGGCTCGGTTTCTTGTCGTTGTAAGAGGTATCGTGGTTGTAAGAGCAATGGATATCGCAAGTGTCATGCTCGGCTAGTCGTGACGGGTAACCTAGATGATGTAAGGCTCGCTTCCGCAACTGTCAAAGGTTCTCACACATGCGGAGATCCGGATGCGCCTTCCATGAAAGGCTACATTGAGATGAAGGAGCGGGCTAAAAAGCTGTCGGTGAGGGCACGTGTCATGGAGCCATTTCACGAGGTGACTCCGAGCATGGACGATGCAGCGGTAGCGGGGTTACCGAGTCGCAAAGCGATACATGAGACTTTGCGCAAAACAAAAAAAACTTCCCTCGGGCTACCGACGGCCCCATCCAGTCGGGAAGGGCTAGCGGCTTTGCCCTCTGCATTTGTCCATGTGAATGCTGGGGGCCTCAGTCGGTCAACCTTATTGTTCGATAGCGGCGAAGGGGATAAGGATCGCCTCATCATCTGGATGGATCCTTGGGTGAAGGACGTGATGAAGAACGACGGAGAAGGTTTCCACATTTCTGTGGATGGGACGTTCAAGACTTCTCCGACTCATTGGGCCCAGCAATTCACGGTCATGGTCCGCTTTGACTGTGGTCGCATGTTTCCTCTATTCTACGCTATTCTCCCGAGAAAGAATGGAAATACCTACGAGCGATTTTTTGCGGCGATAGAGGGATCGCTGACTCAGGATGTGGGGAGCTGCATGATGGATTTTGAATACGCTGTGAGAAAAGCTTTCGAAGGCGTATTCGGGAAAGGAAAGGTTGTTCTTTGCTACTTCCACTTCTGCCAGAACATAAGGCGGAAGTTCGAGAGCCTTATACGGAAGCCGGTTGCTTCTAAGGAGCAGCAGGCTCTGCGAGAAGAGGTTTACTACGACATATTGGCGCTCCCCTTTCTTCCGCTTGATCTCGTGGACTTGGGAATGGATTTCATCTGCGACAAACTCTCGGGAGACGACCGTCGTTTTCTTCTGAAGTACCTCCGCCCTTACTACGGCATGAAAGGCATTCATCCAGCAAGATTGTGGAACTTGCGTTTGCGCGTTGAGCAAGAACTACCGCGGACGAATAATGGCCAGGAGGGATTCCACAACCGTTGGAACGGTCATTTTCCGGGATCAAGCCATCCTACAATCTGGTCATGGATAAGCGTGGTTCATGATCTCATGAAGGAGACGAGGGCCGAATTACTTATGATGCGAGAGGGGGAAATCTGGCCTCGTGAAGCTCGATACCTCGAGAATGACGCGATACTGCGCAGAGTTTGTCGCTTCAGAGTAGATTCGGCGAGCCTCGGGAGCTGGTTCGATAAAGTAAGGGCTTCCATCAGGAGGATCGTGAAGGATATGCGTCGCGAAGTTGACGAGGCGGAGTCTCTAGAGTTCCCTACTATTGAGCCTGCTACTGATGCGAAGCGCAAGGCAGACTTTGGTCCCAATTATTCGGGAGTGAATCAGCGAAAGCGCCTCGCAGCTGTGACTCTCAACGATGCGGTCGAATTCTCGCAGGATTCGGAATCTTCTGAGCCTCCAAATAACGACACTGTGGTGCTCGGGGTACCCGAGGGTTCCAGCTTGGATGATGGCTTACTTCGCATGTTCAATGAGGTGGCAGCTGCTTTCGCGGGCAACACCTTAGTCGAAAATTCCTTAATGGAGGCTCCTCCGATGCCAGCTCAGGCTGAGGCGGGATCTCAGGGTATCGCAGTTCAACCACCTTCCCAGGAGAAGTCGGGCTCAGACGGAACTGACCGTAAGAGCGATAAAGGACGGAACTCCTTCCCAACTTGGCGTATTTTTCCGGGGAGAGAAGTGGGTACGACCTTGCTCTTGACGACCCAGGATCGAGAGAATTTGGTTGTCGAGGACTCGAGCATTTCCGACCAGGTGATAGAGGCTTGGATGACCCGTATCGAACACAAGTTCAAGAGGAAGGTTAATCGAGCTCAGGCAGTATGGCTATCGGGCTATGGGTTTCCCCTGTGCCTGACAATGATTTGGTTGTCTTGCAGCCAATATCTGACGGCGGTTGTCACTTTACCTGCACGGTGCGGATTAATGGTGATATATTTTACTTTGATAGTTCATACGGAGAGCAGGCTAAGGTCTCGGATTACATGAAGGTACGGCTGAGGCAGCTCTACGGATCTGGTGCTAAGGTGGTATGCCCTTCTGTTCAACAGCAAACCATTGGAAGTAATCTTTGTGGGGCGTTCGTGTTGGCACGACTAACGGCATATGCTGCTTCGCCTCATCAAAAACCTGACAAGTTTCTATTTCGGGAATCTGAGATGAGGCAGCATATTTTCTCCTGCTTGGAAGATGAGAGTAGGCGGTCTCTCCTCTTTCCGAGAATACGAGGCAGGACCCCGCCTGATGTAATCTTATCGAAAAGGTTTTCTTTCACATTGTGATTTTTAATGTAATCAACTTCAATGCATGTATGAGAGAGGGTAGAGCCTCCGTCATGACTGTTGTATGATATACAATTGAGGCAGTATAGGTCTCTTGCAGCGCCAAAGATCTCACGTCACATATATTCCCCATAAATTCCCAGTACCGGTTTAGTTTTCAGTCCTGCTATTGTGCTGTGTTAGTCAATACAGTTCACGGCATCCAACCGTTATGTGCTCTATTCTTCAGTGTAACACACATTAAGACCGTAGTTTTGAAGCGCTCAACAATGTTGTCATTGACTGCCTGTCCGTGACAGGCTGTCACTCTTACCGAGATAACGGGATGAACGATAACATTGTATCTAGCTATTGGACTTACGACTGAATTGAATTGTCTTGGTCGCCGTTTTGTGTCGTACAACTTTGGAACACGCATGAAATCAACTCTTCACGTCGTACAGTGTTGGGAGGCTACATCTGGGCGAGCGAGATCTACCTGTCGTACAGTATTGGGGTCGTACAGAATTGGGGGATTCGCTCATCCGGCGTCGTGCAATTCGAGTTATCGTTCATACAAATGAGTGAAGGAATGAGTTTCTCGCTGATTCAATAATAACAAGTAATAAGCATCTGATGATGGTGGAGCTGGGCGTGCGCGCACACAGCCGTTCCATTCGAAGGTGATCAGTGACCATTGCTTCAGCGCCTCTGTAGCTGACACTAAAAGGGGGCTGAGATCGACCCGAGTATTAAGGTACATCCGCCTTTTGTGAATAGCATTCCCAAAAGGTCGAAAAACATACATCGCCAGATTCGAACCCTGTGGCTCTGGCGTGACGGCGTCACGCTCCCCCATTCACGTGACCTTCCACAACATATTTTAGTCCCCTTTTTGTCTCGGCCTCCACATGGACTCCTCTGATCATAGAAGGCTTGATGATGAGGAAGAACTCTTGCGTCACTTCAGTTGTAGTAGTCCTTGGTGAATCTTGCGCACACGGAAGATTCTCTTTTTTAGTGACAACTTCTGGCCAGTCCCCAGCCAGTATTGGTGAGGCCGATGTAGGAGGCGCTGCGTTCGCTCATGCATGTCCACCTTCCCTCTTAGACCCTACCCACAGGCTCGCGTTCCCTTGGGAGTGCTAGTACGACCGAGGGAGGCGACTCGAGGATGTCGTGTCCGAAGGCGCCCAACGCTGAACACCAAGCGATGCTAGAAACCGTAAACGACGTGATGTTACCTCAATCGTCGAATTTTGGGGTCCTCAGGTGTGGCCTTTGGTCATGGATAATGTGGAGAAGAGGATGAACCAGATGGAACAGGTAGTTGGTCGTCGGAGGGGAATTTGTGGTATATTGAAGGCTCTCATTATGGGTATGGAGGAAAAGGCGTGGTATGCTCTTCAGGCGCTAATAAAGAGGCACAACGTGAAGATGATGAACGAGATGCAGGAGGTGGTCAGACAAATAACTACAGCGAAGACTAGAAATGAAGAGGTGATGGGATCGAACCAGGGACCTTTCGGTAGCCACAAGCGATGGTTCGGTGTAGATCCTACTCGCCTATAACACCCGCCTGGGGGAAATCACTAGGGCTTTGACGGACCTAGCGGAGAAGCAAACTTCGTCTGATTCGGTTGATGATCTTAAACGACAAATTAATCTCCTAAGACAACATTTGAACATAAGGTGAGGGGGAGGTCTCGGGTACGATTCCTAGTGGGGGGCATTTATCTTTACAGGTGTGGTCAGACCTCAGAGCAGGTGGGTCAGTTGAAGCAATCTGTGATAATCACTCTACAAAGGGAAAGGACTGAGATGCAGCAAAGGTATGTGAATTTCCCTCACACCACCACACTTGATATGCTTCTTGTTATAGAATGTCGCAACTAATGCGCAACGACCTAACTATGGTAATCCACCAAGTAGATCGTCGGCTCAAGGAAGGACATGCGCAGGTGAGGCGGTTGATGATGATAGTGTCATAGACCTCTTGAAGAGAAGGATATATTTCATCACTTTATTATCATTCGGGTTTCCCCAATGATAATAAAGTAAGGTTTCCGTTCGTATAAGGCAAGAGCCGTTTGCGAAAATATGCACGTAGTCAACTACATGTGTAGGTGACATTTGTGGAAATTTTGAGGAAATTCCCATTGGTTTCTTTACGCTTCCATTTGAATTTTCATGTATATTTTTATAATTAGTGAGGAAACTTCTGGACTCGGCTGAGGAACACGAACACCTATTCCAACACTGGGCAAGAGCGAATCATTATCATTGATTGTCATCGTAACTGTAACGTTGGCTAAAGCCAAACTGTGGTGACTCATCCAGCTTTGAAAAATAACGTCTCCCCAGGATTTGATAACAATGGGGAAATTGATGTTACTAATGTGATGATGACATTTACATGGGAAACTGATTAAAGAATGTGTTCCTAGCCATACGTGCTCGACGAGTGTTTGTAATACTCAGATGCTCGCTTTGAATCGCGTCGTGAGGGAGCTCTGTAGCCTGACGGAAGGAGGAGAAGGTCTACTCACCGAGATAGTACGTGGTGCAGTTCAGACTTGGATCACCAGCGTTTTGTGGAATTCTTCAGCTTCCTAATGACGAGGGGTCTTTGCCATCCTTGGAGCCTAGCAAGATTTTGAATGATAATTCTCGTGGGAGTAACACTGGTGGCACGTCGGTGTCAACTAGCAGTTTCCCTCGGCAACAGCAACAACAGCAGCAACAACAAACACAGCCGCAGGGGGTAAGGTGGAATCAGACTATATGGTGTAATGGTAGAGTGTGAGGTTGTCCATCGTAAGGGTCCATGTTCGATTCCTAGGTTCGCGTTTTTCCGGTAATTTTCTTATCCTCAGATGAGCACTACCTTACCAGGCTTCAATCGACCACAAGGCTCGACGAGCGGAGCAGGCGCGGCAGCAGCAGCTACGTCCTCCTCGTCATCAAGCGCTATGAACATTAATTCAGCCGCTCCTAAAGCTGCATCGGTAGGTCCTACTCGGGAATACTGCCTGATTCGACACATTCGGGATGAGTTCGTTATTGCAGTAGTAGCTGTTGGGGACTTATATCTATGAACTAGGACGTGGTGTGAATGTTCGGTTTTTTCATTTTAGGGTAATGCGGCGCAACAGGCGGCATTGACAAAAAGGATTGCAGAGTTGATCAAACGGCAAGGTAGGGGAGTCTATATAAATGGAGTTTTACGCGAAGTAGCGTCGTAAAACTCGCGATATTCAACGCGCTGATATGCAGTAGTAGTTGTGAAATATATTTTCTTTATTACTAGGGCGGTGAAATCCCAATATACTAAACCGTACTGATGTTTTTATAAAATAAGAATAATGAGTTTGATAATATTATATAAAATTTATATCACTCCTGATAATGACGAATGACAAAAATATAATGGAGTTTCACGATCACCCGTTTTACGTGAAGTGGCGTCGTAAAACTCGGTGATATGCAGCAGTAGTCGTGACATATGTTTTTCACTAGTGTTTTTTCATATCACTAGGGTGAAGAAACTCCAATATAGTATGTGACTTTTCCTCTGCAAGTGTCGGAATGCTGAAGAGTTGATCTTGTTGACAATCTTCTGACGATCATCATCAACACAGTCGCGGCAGAGTTGGCAAACGACGAGATTTTTAAATACATTTATGTGCTCATCAAAAAGACTCCTAAAAAAGTGCGAAATATTCGTACTGGCAACACGTGTCCACTCGCATTGAAAATATTTCTATGGAGTAATACCCTCTCAGAAATGGGACGTTCTGAGAAATATGGTATGATATATAAATATAAATTATTTTCACTATTACTATATCGAAGAATACTTTCTTTTTCAGGTGTTAACGTATCGTCCCAACCTGCTATCGCCCAGTTGCTGGCGCACCTGCCGCAGCAACAGCAACAACAACTTCAACAGCTACTACAACAACAACAGCAACAACAACAACAACAACAGAAGACGACATATGGGATGGCGCCTTCGACAGGACAGGTGAATTTACAAGACGGGGATTTGTGATATGCTGTTGTTGTTAGCAAACTTCTCTGAGATCGTTGAATACCCAGGCTCAGCAGCAGCAGCAACAGCGTCAACAACGAGCCTTGAATAGTAATGTTGGGGTTATGGTATGAATCTAATATTCAATAATTATTAATAATGGATTTTCTTGGCTCTAGTGATATGAAAAACGCACTAGTGAAAAACATATTCCACGACTACTGCATATCGCGAGTTTTTCACCGAGTTTTTCGCCACCACTTCACGTAAAACGGGTCGTCGTGAAACTCCAATGCATTGTAGTAGCAACTTGCCGGATGGCATGGTTCTAGTTATATTCTCAATTTTTCCTATACAGTGTTGGAGTAGGAATATATGTAATCGCTTTCCTCAGCTGCTGAGCTCAGGAGTTTCCTATACAGTGTTGGAGTATGAATATATGAAATCGCTTTCCTCAGCTACTGAGCTCAGGAGTTTATATACGGATTAGCATAGGAGTGGAGTTTCACCTGTGTTACGCGAGGTGGCGTAATACTCTGTTCGCGACCTGCAGTAGTCGTGGAATATACTTTTCACTATCGTTTCTAATCATATCACTAGGGTGAAGAAACTCCAGTGCACAGCAACTAACACGAAGCTGCGAAAAATTTTCCAATTTTAATATTGTCACCAACACATTTAACAAGAAATTGTAAACTATTCGCCATTGAAGAGACAATGTCGTCTTTTTTACGTCTGCTTTCGTTACAGTCTAAAACTATAGGGGGCTTAGTTACCATAATTCTCACGTTTCGAGGCGTGATATCTTCTACGTTTAGCGACAACTCTGCTATGTAGTTGACCATGTGCATATTCCCCCTCACACATATTCTCTTCATTTTTATTATCACAGGTCTATCGCAGCAAGGTCCATCAAACGTCGTGGCATCTGCTGGCCTCTGTCCCTTTATCTCCACCTTTGGGTGGTGTAGTTTTGGTGATAATTGCCAGTAAGGAATTTCGTGGTGCTCGGGAGTTTTCTCGCAATTTGGGTACAGAAAACAATACGAATTCACGGAAATTTCCTCTTAAAATTTTCATATTGTCATTCAGGGTTGCAATTACTCCTAAAATGTAAGGAGTAGTTGGTATCACCAAAGGTTGACGGAAGTCGCGGATTACTAAAGATTCCTCCACGAATATACACCAACATATTTTTAAATGATTTGCTTGTCTGTGAAGGTACATGCATATGATCAGCAATAGGGAGCCTCTCCGGCAGCTTCCGTCGGCTATGATAGCCCAGTTACAACAGCAATACGCGGCTCAGGTGAGCGGCGTTATTGAGGAAATGCAAGATTAGCAAGATTTATTCTTAGGTATTGTCTGGGCAAATCACGACTAGTGCGGAGTTGATGCAAGCCATTGCTAACTCTGGCGCTGCTAAGCAAAACCAAGCTACTACTACTACTACTGCTGGTGCTGGTGCTGGCATGCAGTCGGTTTTCCAGGCGGGGACTGCAACGGTAATGTGGATAGTGTCGTAAGAATATGGTCATTTAGGCTTTTTTAATAAGAAAATTTTTTTTTTCAAAATTTAATCAACCAATTTTGCCTTGCCCTATCCGAGGGCAGTTCCAGAAGGGGAGAATGGTAGAGATCGTTAATAGATGAAATATTAAGCGACCATGCAATTTTTCAAGGGGAAAATTGAGTTCGTGATGTGATGGCATTTACATGGGAAACTGATTGAAGAATGTGCCCTCCCTCCCTTGGGAAGATTAGAGTATTATGTCAGGTTTCAACACCGTCATCGTCGACATCTGGCCCCCAGCATGATCTGATCGCCTCACAGATAGCGCATCAGCAAGAAGGTCTTAGCATGGGTGCTAAGGCGAAGACTATCTCTTGCAAGTTTAACGCTGTTGGAAAGTAAGCCCTTTTATGATTTATAGGACTACTCGGAGGATCTAACAGGTGCGCATATGGTTCGCGGTGCGCATACAGGCATGCAGGAGAAGGCGCTGCTGTCGGTGGCGGTAATAATAATAGCTCGTCGAATCAGCCTACTACTACTGCTGCTATTCTAGCTGCTATGGCAAAGGAAACTCGGGTGGGTTCACTACTTAGTGATTTTGTAAAAGGGAACCTATCAGGCTCAGCAAAATGCACCGTTATTGACGATATCGCAGCAACAACAACTACTGCTACAGAAAGGGCAACAGCAGCAGCAACAGACGGGGACAGGCCGACAGTTGACGGGTGAGTGCTTCGTCGTTGCACGCATGCACAAGGGATGCGAGCTACTAGCGATAATCATTTACTCATAGTCTGGTAGTATTTTCTGTGTGCATTAGTTATATATTTTTTATTTTATTATTTGCTCGCCTTCACAGTGTTGGAGGAATACACGTTCACTTTCCTCGTGAGAATTCTGGTAGAAGTGTGCAAAAATCAGTAGACAGAATTTTCGTATTGTCACTAACACATGTAGTTGACCATGTGCATATTCCCCCTCCAAACTGCGATTAGGTCCAGGGGTGAGCGCGGCTCGAAGCTCATCCGAGGGGCCTCGAGCTCCCGAATCACAAAGCAAAGATATGAGTGATTCGATCAGTGCGGAAGCGGTGACCAGCGCTTGGCTGAAAGATCGTAATTTTTATTTTTAGCGGAGCGAAGCGTGGCAGGATTGCATTTTTTGATGGTAGATTTGTCTGGAACGTCGTGGGCGGAGAGATTAAGCTCGGCAAAGCCCGAGCAGCCTTCCTCCCCCTTCCGTGATGGGGGTGGTGATGATGGGGCGGTTGCTGCTGCTGCTGCTACGCCACCCTCGTCACCGCCGCCTCCGGAAGATCCTACTAAGGGTAGTGAAGACCAGCAGGAATCGGAAGTGAATTATCAGGTATGATTATCGTTTTCTATGTATGCATGGATTCATAGATAGCTGTGATGATATTACTAATCGTTGGAGTTTCACGATCACCCGTTTTACGCGAAGTGGCGTCGTAAAACTCGGTGAAAAACGCGATATTCAACGCGGTGATATGCAGTAGTATTCGTGAAATATGTTTTTCATATCACTAGGTTGGTGAAACTAGTCGGAAGTGAATTATGAGGTAAAGCTGTTGTATATTATTATATCTTATGTATGCATGGATTTCGAGATGGTTGTGATGATATTACTAATCATGGGAGTTTTATCCATTTTACGTGAAGTGGCGTCGTAAAACTCGGTGATATGCAGTAGTAGTGCTGAAATATGTTTTTCATACTACTAGGGTCTTTTTTGTATCTTAGTTCTGTGTTTCCTCAGAGTAGTAGAAATACCGTGGATTTTGAGGAGGTTGTGGTGAAGGACGAAGCCGACGAGGGTGTTGCGGAATCTGCGGGCCCTCCTCCTGGTAAGTTGAGAAAATTTTTTTTTCCGTAGAATTTTATTTCTATTCTCAGGTTTGGGATTCGGTACTAAAACCGAATCGAGTTGAATAAACGAGTTTTGTTATGCTTTTTATGCTATTTGCGGTCATCGGTTTGCAAAAGCTCGGCGAAGGTTCGCGAAACATTCGTTCATTTCCTAATAGGTCGAAAGGCTTACAGCCGGTCTCTGATTCAATCCGTTTCCTATTTTCGTTACGTTTTTATTTTACATCACCATCATCATCGTCGTATTACCCCCGCAAGGATGGTCTTTGGAGTTGGCAGTTGTTTCAATAGGGATTGGGTCGTCGGCTGCTGCTGGTGCTGTTCACGGTACCGTGGAAGGGTAGAACTAGGACTGTTAGTTGCCTTCTAGAACTATGGTGAATTATGGGTTACTAGGAAATGTTTAGGGAAGACCATAAACAGCATGTGCGGCAGCGACCAATACACCGATGCTTCTATGTGAGCAATCGCTTATATGCCGATATTCTGCTCCGCATTACTGCGGACGAAGAGCGTAGCTTCTCAGTGGTTGGAACTGTACGAGAGAGTTGCCTTTCAGCGACGTCTGGTTCGGGACAGCGATCGGCACAATCGGCACTGCCGGTACGAGAGGCACCCTGAACTCTTCAAGCTGCCTGGCTACTAGCCAGCGGCTAGTGTCGGAATGTTTCTAGCATATATTTTCTCTTTCTGAGGTCTCCGATGTAGGTCTAGGGTACTAGAACTCAACCACTCTTCTCATTGTAGGAGAGAGTAAAGGAGTAAAAAGAAGTATGAATACAATTATTGGGAATAGGGAATCGCTACTCAGCTTAGCTTCAGCTTATCGATATCTTGTCGTCACGACACAGCGCACAATCCTATATCATTCTCTCACACTACTAGGTTCCAGAAGCACTCTGGGTAGCAAGCCTCGGTGGATTCGGCAGAAGATTGAGGCTTGTTAACGAGCTGTTTGTTATCTTGAGTGTACCTTGCGTGTCTCCGTCTGCAGATGACATACACCTGGCCACAACTCGAAGGCTAGATGTTCGAACCAATTGCCATGCTGCTAGTGGACTCAGGCTGTGATCTTCTTACTGAGAAATTATTACTACTGTAGAGACGCGAAAGGGAACATACTCATCACCTTGGCGCTGAGAGGACAGCGTAGCTGATCATTCGTTTTCCCATTTGACGTGTTGATACACGTTATGCTGATTGGTCCTCGTGACCTGTAGGAAAAACTACAGTTGAGATCCAACCTTTCTTAGCATGCTATTCCCATGGTAGGAGTGTAGATGTGCAGTTGGCGAGATTGAGAAAGCACTGATTCAAATTACGAGGTCTCCATAATCTATCTGACCATTACCTGGCAAACTATCTGAATAGGAATACACTGGGTATGTGCAGAGAAGATCCGGATGAAGGTTTTATTCCAGAAACCGCGCTATTTTACCACTAGGTAAGCACACTTCCGCTCGACTAGATGTAACTCAAGAAGGAGTGTAGATCAGAAATTCTGATTACGAACTTAATCTGTTCACAAGATCACTGGTGATTCGAGTGTGTGGGTTGTGCATCGAGTGTGCAGGGAAGCAGCACTTACACACTTGAGAACCATGGACTATGAAACTTGACGTATCGGAGCATGGCGCACCCAAAACCCCAGAGAGCATGTTGCATGCACCGAAGAGAGATAAATTCCATTGTATTAGTGGAGACTCAAGTTTAAGATGCTGCTGCATGATCATTGTCGCTGTCCCAATCCCCCGTAACACACAATCATGTCTTAGCTAAGCTTATGATGAAGATAGTCCTCGACGGCTAAGTATAATCCGACAGCCTTGTAAGGCATTGTCCTGCAATTATATCCAGTGTAGTGTTATCTCAATGGGTTTCAAATCATCAACAGCTGCACAACTTGGTGCGACCACGTGGGGGCATTGATGAGGTGTTGTTTTTTGCTTACATCATTCAAGCAAAACAACACCCCATCAATTTGAGTTAAATCACACTCACAGGTCTTACCTGTGGCTCCCACTTTCACATATGAAATCACCAGAAACAAACATGGCACATTTCTCTGCGTCTTGCCAATACGAGGCAATTCGCCGTGTTCAAAGGTTTCGTGGCTAGTGATGAGGAACAGGACCGATGATCGACGATTATCATACTTTTCCCCACAATTGTCATTCAACATCCTTTCGTTTTATCGCTCGCCCTACTCGTGCCCGAGGGGTTTGAGCCGTTCGACAGCAATAATCTGCTTATCCCACAACGGCTTTGAAGATGACTTCAATTGTAACTACAACACTAGACATCGACTAGTGCAGTGGTCGCGCATACCAGTGCAGGTTCATTCCTGCCGTGAGTCGTCCTATGATCCATCAAGAGAAGCACTGAACCCAAATCATGGATAAGTAGTTCATATTCCTTTCTACACTGAAAACGTTCCTGTGATAAACAAGATCACCTAAGTTGTCAACGAACATTCAACTCGAGGAGCATGGTCCGACAGGAGATCTAGCAAGGGAACTACAACTCAATAAGTAGTTCAATAGCAAGAGAATGAGCCGAGAAAGCGATCCAAATGATGATACGATGTGGGACGGAGGCTTCTCCCCTCGATAAGAGATAAGGGGAACGTGACATTTATTGACTAAATGATTTTCAGCGTCCGTAGCCCTTGAGGGCGCTACTCATTCTGGAGGGAGCGGCTAAGCACCTGTGTAAGAGCCATTTGAACGGCCTTGAGAACATCCAGTTCTCCGATATCAGATAGGTTAAACTTATTAGGTATACCGGCTGTCCTAGAATTTATGATAGTGTCTGTTATATCCTGGCCTTTGAGACCCAGGGTAGCCAGCAAAGCCGCGACACCGGCAGTAGTGGGGGCCGACATCGATGTTCCACTCTTATAACCGTATGACCCTCCTGGCATGGTCGAATAGATATAAACACCGGGAGCGGCCACCTTTGTAAACGAGCCAGCATTCGAAAAATCAACCAGAGAGACGGTTTCGGTTGGGCTAGAAGTACTGGCAGCGACACAGAGCATAGATGGGATTTCTGGCGCAAAGGAGCAAGGATAATGTGGATTATTCTCTATTCTAGCTCCGTTATTACCAGCAGAAACAACTGTAACATGGCCAGCAGCAGCGGCGTTCTTGAAGCCAGTTTTTTCGAGCTCGCTTGTGGAACGATCACCATATGAATGGGAGGACACTGTAGCCCCATTCTCAATCGCGAAGTTGAGAGCCCTCATTGCGTCACTGACCAGGTAAAATCCTTCAGAGTTAATGAACTTCAATATCATCAGCTTCACATGAGTCATCGATCCATCGATATTCGCCACTCCTGCAATACCGATGCTATTATTAGTCTCAGCGGCTGCATTCCCGGCGCAGTGAGTACCGTGGCCGTAGTCATCAGTAACATTAGTAGTGTTCGTTATGAAGTTGAAGCCGATAGAGTTGTCAGATGGGTTCCTCCAGAATTGATTGACCAGATCAGGATGAGTCATATCAACACCACTATCGATGATGGCCAACACGACATCCTTCAGCTCCCGTCCGGCTGAGCGAGCCGCTTCCCAGGCAGCCCCTAGGCGGATAACCTCGAGGTTACGCTGGCAGGAGGAGGCGGGATCGTTGGTACCGAGAAAAGGATTGCCACCAGTACAACTGGTGGTAATTATGGGAGATCTTTGGGCCGTATGTGACGGGGGAGTCGGGATCAGACTGACCCCAGAGTCGGGCTCACACTCAAATTCAATGCCGAGCAAATCTTCGGCCTTCCTCAAGTAGTTGAGAATCTGACTATGACCAACTGAGCATTTAGACTCTACAATCTGGATCCCTATCGCCTTCAAGTCATATACCATACCATCTTGTGCGAAACATCGCTCGCACTTACGATCATCTTGAGTGAGAGTGTATGTTCTTCCACCAGAAGCAGATACGACCTGTGCCATCATACTCGGTACATGACGGATGTCGAGTCGGGTCCCACGATAAGATATCGTGACCAGCGTGCGGTTGGAGACAGCTCTACCGAAGGTTACGGCATAAACGAGTAGTGTCGATAAGAACGCCGAGTGTGCGAGCATGATACTATAAAATGACACTCCTTAAGATTCGAAAATAACTGATAGACCATGGCTTGCATTGCTACCTACACAGATAGACCTATACCATGCTTTATGTACTCTGAGCCTCTCCAGCTCAGAGGAGGAATAAGCAGACCTAAAGCGTATAGCCAGAACTTGTAGTACAGCGTGTCGCTCCCGAATTTTAGGAATGTTTCAGTGCCGAGGCTGTTATCTCGCGCGTGCAGCTGATTATATGGTCCCTGCATGACACGCAATCGATAACGCTATGTATTCGCGTGTGTTCATGCCATGAACAATCCCATGAACTTCATTAGATTGTTCACGAGAGCCTCACGAATTGCCCCTTCGTCAGTATCAGATATTGTTTCATACCCAATTCCTAGTGAATAACTCTAAGTCCTCTACTGACTCTGAGTTGCCACTAAGAAGGACCACGCTGGAGCTACGAGAAGCTACAGTAGTTATCTGGCGCTGACGGGACATACCTTCTAAGATTCATGGTCACGCCGGACAGTAACATGCAAGGCCAACGTCGGAGTACTGCTTCGAGTAGTCGTCATCTCGTGATAATCACATTGTGTTGATCCTAGCATTGAACCTGATCCCGAGTTTGCTGAATCTGAAAGCCGCCATGATGAGACAGCGAGCGGATGCTGCTTGTGAGTCCATTTGTCCCTGTATTCGCGTGCTGTTTTGAAATCCAGGAACCACGCCGATTCTAGTTCTCTAGCGAGGAGTAAATTGCATCTTGCATAGCTCTGCTACCTGCAGACCGCCAGCGCCGGAAGACAGTTGTTCTTGCGGCCATTGTGCATGCGTCTCTTCTAAGATTATACAGCGACTGTGACTATCTTAGCGACATAATGTCTCGAAGTACTGAGAAATGTATGCGAGAGATAGCGCTGCTATGCCATCGGTCGATGAGGCTGAAAACTCAGCTGAATGATGCGTCGGTTCTCCAACCCAACACCCGCAAGTCGGAGGGATTGTTATCTGTGGGAATCTGTCGATTCAGCGAAGTGTTGTGGTTGCGCGAGTTATCTCAATTGTGGTAAAATCCCTAGTAGGGCTGTCCCTCTTGTTATTAGTGCTTATCTGCCACTATTAATAAGTTATTGTTCTCACTGCTGTTACCGTTCATCAGTCACCACTAACTGGTAACCGGGTTCTTGTGTCGAGCAGTGCCAAGCCTGATACTCGATAACCGGCGCGCACGGTGACACGGTGTGACATGGCTGTAAAGCAAGCACGACAATTCCAGTTTTCACTTGAGTAGAAGCACGCGGGTCCTGAAGAGATATAGTTTTCATTCGAAACGATTTCCTCCTTGGATTAGGAACGATAACGATTAGGACGAGAACGAGTTCGACGTAGAAGGCGCGGGTTCGATTCCCAGGACTGTCAACTCAATACGAGAGTAGCTATATTCGGTTTTATTCTGCATCTCTAGCAAAGCTCCATCGTGGGTCTGCAAGTCAACTATGATGTAATTTTAGCGTTAAACGTCAACTCTAAGGCGATCAATGATGACACTCACGCCGGAAAATGACCGCGCCTAGAAAGCTGATGGTGGTACTCCTTCTTCGACCGGAGCACACTTGAAGCTCAAGTGACAATATGGAAAACTGGAAAGTTCTCGTTGGTTTCTCTATATTTCTAATCCAATTCATATTTAATTTCCTATGACAAGTGAATGCCGAACCCCCTGGATTCAGCCGAGGAAAGCGACCATATATTCCAACGTTGATTATTACAATAATCCGATTAACTCTCGATGAATTTGGGTCGTGTGTTGGGACATGTCCTCCCTTTTCTTGAGAAACACAACGCATTGAGATGTCGAGAAAAAGTGGTTATCCGTAGTAGTTGTTAATAGACTCGATAGTGGTGGGGGATTCAATGGTACGATAGATAGATGAGAGCAGCGGCAAAAGCAAGACTAGAAGTGATAACCATATTTTACCAGTACGAGTATTCGTGTAACGCACTTAAAATACTCGTAGTGGCCACGTGTTAGTAGTACTAGAAATACTAGTACTAATGGTAATGACAGGCAAGGTAGTCGAAATCCTAAACTAATAGTGTTGGTATCGATAATACTGCTAATTCGACCATCAATAATAGCAGCAACAACAATTGTCGCTTTCGCAGTACGACGACATAAAAACTGCAACCTACCGTTCTAAGGGTTAAAATCGCCCTCGGGTAGCATCCCTAAATCGGCACATTCAGCATCGCTAGTAACGACAACCTCCTTATTGTCAAATCAAGGCTGGAGAGTGTATCGCCATCAGAACCATGCTACAAACAGTGCCAACCGGATGCATGGGGATTCACCAGAAATCGCGAGGTGCCCGAAAAACGGAAGTTATATAGCAGTTGATAACAAGAAGAGGTAAATAGTAGATGTTCAGAAGATCAGAAACGGAAATGTTAGTCATAAACGGACCTAGTTTGTATCTTGCACGCTCAACCTAAGGATACTTCTTAATCGATTTGCTCGAACAAGCCTCGAACCTCCTCAGCAGAAAGGAGTTCTCCTTTCGAGACTCTTCTTAGTGCCGCCTTCTTCTTAGGCGTCGACGACTCGCGTCTTTCAATAGACGCAAGCGGACTGCCAGTGAAAAGTTGGTACATCACGACAGCGCAAGCAAGAAAATCATCTTCACAACGTTCAGAAAACACAGCGTCGGAACATTCTCCGACAAAGCAATCATCATCATTATCATGCTGATCGCGCTGTAAAACCTGACGCCTCAAACCGGCGTGGTGGGTGCAAGCGCAAACAACTGCGCTTCCGAAATCAACTAAATGCACGTCACCAGAGTCGTTGAGAAGAATGTTCTCCAACTTGATATCATTATGGGAAATACCCCAACCATGAAGAGAATCTAAAATCGTCAATAATTGCATGATGACAGACAGAATAGTGGCATCTTCCCGAACTGTAGATCGTCGTCGGAGCCACTCGTAAAGATCTAAACCACCAAGTTCGGATACGATATAGGTCGCATCACAGTCCTCAAAAACGTCGAGGATCTTGGGCACACCATCAATGTCAAGATTCGCAATAAGTTCCATAGTTTCCGCCTCTTCTGGGCCGTGCCCTGCCATATCCGAGATACAAGGGGGGATCGTCTCATACGGGGGCTTCTCGATAATCTTCAACGCGACGGGTCTTCCAGTTTGTCGACATATTGAGCGACAAACCTGCCCGTACGCTCCTGCCGCTATGGTAGACCCGAGCTGGTAGGAAGTATCAAAGGCCGTGAGGGCGGCATCACTGACTACTCTCATAGGTGATGTTGGAGGAGTAGTGCAACATGTACTGCATGGGGAAGACTCTTCAATGGTAGTAGCGTCTCGTCGAGGTTTTAGAAAGGATAGTTGCAGTCGAGGAGTTACCGAGTCTTCTTCTTCTTCTTCTGAGGGTACATTGAGGGCAGCAGTCATGTTGAACGCGGAGGGGAAGGGTAGTCGAAACGACAATACTTCGACCCTCCGGGGCGCGAAGACTGAAGAGAATATTAACCGAAGTGAGAAGCAAAACTCGATGAGCGATGGATTTCCCGTTGCTGCGTTGAAGCTACTTTGAAAATCCCTTTCGGTCTCGGACACTCCGCCTTCTAAACGGCTAGCAAGGTAAACACCAAAAAACTCGACAACTTACGAATCACAAACAAGGTAACGTCTACTAAACTCCGTTAAACGGCTTGCTAAGGTAAGTACAAGGGAATTTCACTGCTCTACTCTGACGGCAGTCCTCTGCTAGGAGAACAAATTCTTAGAATTCTGTAGTCCTCGAAACTTTCATGTACAACCACAAGTTTACTTTCATGCCGAATACAAGAGACCTCACACACTCCACGCTGTCGCCCTCCCTGGTCGTCGAAGGGAGCACGTCACGGAGGCAGCGCGCGTCATTCTGATCGATATGATGAGAACAAGTAAGATGTCAAGTGGCGTCTCCCATTCAGCGTCACAGATCCTCAGTCGTTACCTCCGACCACCCGCTTGTGGTCTTGTGTTGACATTATCCGTGTATTGACATTATCAGGCTGTCGGTGTCAATACGCAGATACTGTCTCGCAACAGTTCCATCAAGAAAATTCCTATCGGGATGAGTCACCATGAGCCTCATGGCATGAAGGCGTGTTAGATCCCGTATTAATTAATCACTACCATTGTCTGTGTCGTCCCGTTCGGGCGAGCGAGTTATAGATGAAACGCATGACAATGGAGTGATATTGCTAGAAAAGGTTTGTGTAAGCCCACCAAGGCCCTACACTTGTGTTACAAGGAGTGGTTAATTCTATATGGTGACAGCTGTTGACATCGAGAACGCTGAGACCTACGCTGAGCTTACGAGGCTACGCGGTACCTGTAGAGCTTGCCGCACAAAGAAACTCAAAGAACTGCGTACTATACGAGCCGATATCTGTTCGGTCTCAATTGATACGAACGAGGACGAACAAGCAGAACTGTTCGAGAGGGAAGCTATTTTGGAGGCTGAAATTAGCTCGATGGCTCGTCTGGCAGATCTATGCTCCACCCGTATTGATTCCTTGGCTACTGAGAGTTGCACAGCGACATCTAGCTCAACTGCGCTAGCGGTGACTGAGAGCAGCTCAGCTGTGGAATCGTTGGTTGCGGTGATTACTGATGTCCTGAATAGAACATCGGCTACAGATAGAGGGTCGAAGTCATCTCAAACGAGTAAACCTTCCCTCACTGACGTGAACAAGTTCAACATCACTTCAAGGATTCTCAAGGATGAACACTTATTATCTACTCATTTCCGCCGATTGGAGGAGGTTTTCTCAGCTGTAAACTTTGGCGTCATGGAAGGGGGTAACTTCATACCACATCATCACCTGCAAGCACCATTGATAGAAAAGTTACTGGAGACCCTGAAAAAACATGATAACTTGGTGTCAGAGGTTAATTGTTTGATCGACAGCCGCGGACATGACTGGCAGCATATTCGTTCGTCCTTGCTGAGCAAGTACTGTAACAGCGTCGCGATTCGACGGGAGTTCAAGAAGCGTGTCGCGAAGCTCTCATTCAAGGGACCGGCGGACATTGATGGGTTCGTGAGTCAACTTCGAGATCTCCGCACTCTCTACATGAGTATCAACGCGGGGTCGACGGTGAAAAACCGCGACTCGGAGGGGCAGTTCGATGAAGACATTATCTTTGTAGACTCGGTTCTTAGATGCCTCCCACAAGAATTGTTACTGCAACTGATTAGAGACGTTGTAGCCTCTTCCAAATACTCATACCCCCAGCGAGCGGGAGTTGATTGGCAGCTGAGGCTGCCCTTCGATGGGCTGATCGGCGAGGCATCGTTAATATCATGCTTGATAGAACTCTGCTATTCCCACGTATCTGTCGCGGAGATTCGGAAGCCTCGACAAGATCAGGGATCGGTGGGTCCCAGCAGGGATATCCGTGATAGAATGCAAGTTGTGGGAGAGGCGTCTAACAGCTTAGAGGGCAAGCGGGGGCCGAGTCCTTACAGAGATGCTATCAGTTGGGCCAAAGGTTTCCCTGTCGTTCTTATGGTGATGGGGCGTGCAGTGGATAGAGCAGACCGCAATAGCTCAGGTTTTTCTGACGCGGAAGACGTTCGCTTCTTGATATCTAGAGGAGGGCGTCGATACGGTTTACTAGCGTTTACTGATGAGAGAAAGGCCATGTCCACGGTACAAGAACATTTTGGCGACAAGAATGATTTCGGCGTCGTGAAGAAATTCGACGTCGCATTCAGAAACTCAGAAAACGAGGTAGGTCGCAGCTCGCAGTAGGCGACGGCTACGACCTTAGAAGATCGCCTACATCGCTCGCAATTTCGGTCAGCAGAAGCAAGTTTGACCTCAGAGATTCGAGTACAGCGCTGCTGAAGGATGATAAATCCAGTTCAGCTTCTATTGCAGAGACTGACGATTCACGGAGATCTCCAACTGAGAAAGTTCGGGAGTCTAGTGTGTTCAAGAGGGGAACAGAAGCGCATCCCGTGACCATGCAAGAACCTTCTGACCAAACAGCGTCCGTGAAGGAGAGAAGGGACAAGCTTAGCTTCGTTGGATCCAATCGCACAAGGAGTGGCTGGATCTCGGAAATCGCACTTCAGTTGCGAGTGGCACAAGGTGGCGACGAAGTTCCACTACGTGCGGTGGTAGACTCGGGTGCCGGACGCTCCTATCTCATTGCAGGGGATAACCAACCTTTTGTACTGGAAAAATCCCCAACACCATATCGAGTGGAGCTGGCAGATGGCCGCGTATCAACCATTAACACACTTGTTCGACTGGACTGCAGAGTTTGGGATGTTGGGAACAAGAAATGGTTCAGGCCAATCAGATTGATGCAGGATCCTGACCTATGCGATCCGAATGGACCATCGCTGTTGCTCAGAATACTCCGTTCTAGAGCTCCTAGTAAGCCCTATCTACTGCTGGGACGTGACGTCATACAATGTTGGGGGCTTGAATCTCGAGCTGTTGCTTCGGCCTGGATAAGTGGGAGGTTGGTGTTTTCGCGCGGCTCATCCGTAGACGTCCGTTACTTGGAGGAGAGGCTTTGCGTGGTCAGATCATACAGTTCTGGGGATGCACCTATAGATACGAGCTGTGTGAGCGGTCATGAGGAGGGCGACCTAACCAGTACGGATATCGTACCTCTTCCGAAGGTGGATGCCTCGACGACATTGAGGGTCACTTTGACTCTAGAAGATGAAAACTTGGTCCGCTCTCTTCTAGAATCAGTGGTCGTCTCTGGCTGGAAGGATATACCGGGATGCAGAGAGTATCGAACTCGCATTCGCAAGGTGCATCCAGGAGAGTGGCTGGATTGTACCTCGCAAGAATATGTTGCTGAGCTAGCACTCCCACATCCCAAGCGTCCGAAAGTGGAACCTCGGGACTTTGCCATACCTTTGTACCACAAATTGGCAGAGCCGCTGAAGCAGATCTACCGGGCAACTATACAGGAGTATGTCGAGTCGCATGGGTGGGTTCGTGTGGGAGCGGAGAATTCCACTTCCGCACTGCCATATGCCTCTGTGTTCATGACCGGTTACCAAACGGGAAAAAAGCCTCGATTGGTGTGTGATCTAAGATCTGCGAATTCGGCCCTCCCTCGTGTTCAGTCCCGTGGAGAGCATCTGTGGCTTCCATTATGTTTGCTCCGAGCAACCAGTCCCATCTGTATTGCTACTAGTGATGTGCGGAGCGCGTTCTACTCTATTCGTTTCGCCGGTTCTGATGTGATTGATCCAAGTGATCAGATAAATACCCTCCAGATGAGAACAGGAATCGGTGACTTCGAGTGTCTTCGGGTTTGTTTTGGTATCTGCTGTGGTACGTGTTCGTTGAAGAACACCTATGGTTCGTTGATCTCGGTTTATCGCTCCTCCAAGCTAGCTCGAAAGCTAGGAGGATGGATTCAAGAGTTCGTGGATGACCTTTTCCTATCTGGGTCAATTCGGTCTGTTCTAAACAACCTTTGCAACACTCTCTATCTGCTACTACTGGTCGCTTTCTTGGTGCAGGAGAAGAAACTAGCCATAACCGCTGCTGTTACGGCAAAAGCACTGCTTCGGCAAGCTCTGGTCGATAGAGGCCTTTCTTTGCCGGTGGTCGATTCGGTATCAATGTTCAATGTGAGCATCTCCTACGAGCTTATCGGAACAGTTGACTTCATGCGGGTAGAGTGTAAGCGGGAGGCGAGAATGAGTAAAGCCCGGGAGTTTTTCCTTAGAGAACCTATCTTGGAACAGTGTCCTACCAAGAGGTTGATCTTTGGGATATCGGGTCTCGTATCGTTCGACCCGGCTAGAGCACACAGTGCATCCCGTATGATTGGGGACCTCCTTCGGAGTATCTTTGGCCGCTGTTTTCATGACATCGACTGGAGTACACCATGTGATCTCCGCTCGCTAACAACGGAAACGCAAGCTGCGTACTGTGGGATTGTACGATGGGCACGAGACATTTGCGCTCAGGGATCATCTGGCTGTGTGCATCTCTCACCTGTGCATGCCCAAAGCAGCGCTGTGGTCAAGTTAGAAGTGTCATGTGATGCCTCCTTATACGGAGGCTCGGTGGTCATCGAGGTGGTTCACTCTTCTATGGATACCAAATCTCCAAGCGCGGGGCGATACCGCATCCTTGAGGACGCGTTCCGGTTCACTGCCGCGCAAGTTTGCCACTCCTCGAACCGTCGGGAACTTAGGATGTGCCTTGAAGCACTGCGGAGGACGTCGGATCTGCTCCTCTACCATCGAGCCACGGCAG